CCCATAGAAGCTACAATTACTGTACAAATATTTATCCCTACATTTTGTCACACAGAAAACTTGATTTTCTTTCACTAGTTCATTTTAAGACAATTCAAAATAGTAACTGTTAGGTACCAGCTCCAATATGCAATATATGCCAGTTTTATAAAACATACATACTCGATGTATCTGCTAAGATATATACCACTAAAATGTTTACAATGAGGTTTACCTGGAAAATATGTTTTGAGATTATTTTTCATTTTTTATTTATCTGTATTTTTTAATTTTTACAATAAATGTGGACTACCCATGTAATCTTTGTTATTTTTTTTTTTTTAAGATTTTATTTATTTATTTGACAGAGAGAGAGAGAACAAGTAGGCAGAGAGCCAGGCAGAGGGAGAGAGAGAAGCAGGCTCTCCCGCTGAGCAGGGAGCCTGATGCGGGGCTCAATCCCAGGACTCTGGGATCATGACCTGAGCCAAGGCAGCCGCTTAACCGACTGAGCCACCCAGGTGCCCCTCTTCTGTTATTTTAAAAAGAAAGTGCAGAATGGGGCGCCTGGCTGGCTCAGTCAAGACAGCATGCGACTCCTGATCTCAGCTAAGTTCGAGCCCCACGTTGGGGGTAGAGATTTCTTAAAAATAAAAATCTTTAAAAAAAAAAGTGCAGAAGCCCAAGAATTCAGTAATGGTGAGTAACATAATTAAAGAATCTTGAAAAGTTTAAGTTTTGATTTTCCCAAAGTCAAAACAACATCAGATAAGTTAAAAATCCGATTTTTGGGGGTGCCTGGGTGGTTCAATGAATTAAGCCACTGAGTCTTGAGTCTTGATTTTGGCTCAGGTCACGATCTCGGGGTGGTGAGATTAAGCCCTGCAACGGGCTTGGAGCTCAGCAGGGAGTCTGCTGGAGATTCTCTCCCTCTCCCAGTCTCTTGTCCCCCACCCCCAACTCTCTCTCTAAAATAATAAATAAATAAATTCTTTTTAAAAATCTGTTTTTTATATTTGGAAAACATGAATAACCCTTCACATTTCACTGCCAAGACTTCTAAAGCTCTTCAGCTTTAAAAATAACTATGTTTTTGAAGGTTATAAAAAGCATTATCGGGTCAACTGACAAGTGGAATACAGACAGTAGATTTGATCAAAGTATTGTATCAATGTTAAATTTCCTTAAATTGGTAACTGTACTAAGGTAATGTAAGACAATGTCCTTGGTTCTTAGGAAATACACAGTGAGGGGATCAAGGGACAGGATGTATGCAACTCACAAATACTTCAGCAAAAAATACATAATAAAAAAATAAAGCAAATGATGAACAGGAAAAACATCAACTGGTGAATCTGGGTATTAGAGTCATTTGTATGATTTTCGCTACTTTTGTAAGCTTGAACTTATTTCTAAATAACAGTTTTAATTGAAAAACAAAAAATAACATTCAAAACTGTCCTAAAAAGCACTTAAGAGCATGCTGGTCTAACTTCAAGCAAGACATTAACACTGTCCAGAAGAAATATAATATGAGCTGGCTGCATTAAAATGAAAAGAAACAGGGGTGCCTGGGTGGCTCAGTCGGTTAAGTGTCTGCCTTTGGTTCAGGTCATGATCCTGTAGTCCTAGGATCGAGCCCCCAAGCCCCCAAGCCCCCAAGTCCCCAAGAGCAGGGAGCCCTGCTTCTCCTTCTCCCACCCTAGATCGTTTTCTAATAAATAAATAAAATCTTAAAAAAAAAATTAAAAGAAACAGGTGAAACTAATTTTAACATTTTTTTTTAAAGATTTTATTTATTTATCTGACAGAGACACAGTGAGAGAGGGAACACCAGCAGGGGAAGTGGGGGAGAGCAGGCTTCCCGCGGAGCAGGGAGCCCGATGCAGGGCTCGATCCCAGGACCCAGGGATCACGACCTGAGCCGAAGGCAGACGCTTAACGACTGAGCCACCCAGGCGCCCCTAATTTTAACATATTTTACTTAGCCAAGGCTTAAAGTATCATTTTGATGTAATCAATATAAAAATTACTGAGATATTTTACAATTTCTTTCATTCTAAGTCTTCAAAATCTGGTGTGCATGTTACACTTACAGTACAAGGCAATTCAGATGCTAAATTTGCATAGGAAATACCTGATCTGAGTTTAAATTTCATTAAATCTACAGTTCAAAAAGTAGATCCACGTAACCAAGTTGTTTCAAATACAGTTAAAAGTTTTCCAATCCCTGAACTATCAGTTTTAAATGTCAACTTAAATTAATTAAAATCAAATAAAGTGGAACACTCATATCTCAATCATACTAGCCACCCTGCAAGCTCAGTAGCCACATGTGGTTACACCGTAAGACAGCCCAGCTTTAGATGATGAAACAAATTCCCTCTATGACAGAAGGATCTAATTGCTAAGACTCAGTTCATCATATTTATCAAAAGATTTTTAGTAGTTATGATAAAATGACTGACTGACAATCGTGGCAGAAGCTTTGGCATCTCCCCAAGTCATAATCAGACATCCCATATACCACCACTCAGCAATACCAACACAAAGCCTTCTTTATCTTCTAAGTCAGCTGTCATACCTTGCAGTTGAATTTCCTGTAAATTGTCTGTCAAATGGCCCTTTTTTAAATGGAGCAGAACGAACCCGAGTTCTGGCTCTCAGAAGCAGAGTGCAGGGTTTCAGCACAAATACTGTCTGAGAATCCCAAATGGGAGCCTGCACACAACAGAACATATCCTGGATTTAAAGAAATGTCCTCAGTACAGAGGTGGGTTTTTCTTTTTAAACAGGTGTAAGAGATTAATTCAGTCAACACCACGCAACATTAAAGATTTGCCAATCAATAATTCTGCGCCAAGCAACTTGATCAGGGATTTGGCTGGAATCCCTTTGGCTAATCTCAATAAAGACCTTCCCAAAGACATCCTGATTTAGGCCATTCTCATCTAAATTAAGGTTTAGGCAGTCCTTTGCCTGACAGCAAATAAATGAAATGATATACACACAAATTTTGCCTGCTTGACAAAAGAAAAAAAAACATCTGAAAGATAACTTAGTGTGGTCAAAAATATAGTTCCAAAGGACAGTAATCATAAAATAGCATTTAAAAACCATTTTAGGGAAATGTCTAATTCCTACTTTCTGCCTAGCCAGACTTTTCAATTGAACAATGTTGTGGGTAACAGCTGAATTTAATCCACAACAACTAATTCTGATATTGCTAGTTTTTCTTTCTCTGCAGGCGTACATACAGGTGTTAATATTCTGCTTCAACTTGAAAGGAAGATATTCTTTAAAACGGACGAATCCTTTACTGTGAATCTACTAGTGCCTGAAACTACACATCCGCCTGGGAAGTGGGGTAAAAGAGTGTGCAAAATGGTTTTTGACACCCTGACCTAAAAGTTCTATGTTCCATACAAAATCCTTTTTTTCCCCCTTCCTTTCCCATCCTGCTGATCTAGCGTGCAACATCATATCAGGAATCACAGATACTGATCTAACCATTGTGTGGAAACTAAAATAATCGTCATCTAAAAACACGTATATATAAACATTAACTCTACTTAAAATACAACTTCCTTCCCCCCTTCCTCCAAAGAATCCTAAAGCTCTAAGCAGGATGAATACAAACATTTTTAAGCCGTTCCATCGGAGGTGTGTTCTTGATTAGATTTGATCCTGGAAATGTTTGAACATTCTGTAGAAGAACACATTCTAACTATGGGTTTTTGCTAGAAACTTCTCGTTCAATGCCTATGTAATCAAATCCAGTCTCACTTGTCTCTGAAATTAGCTAAATACGCAGAAATCCATTGTAATTTTAAAAATAGAGAAGAGGAAAAAGAAAGAAACTTCACCCGAAACACATTCCAGTCCAACCGTTCAAGCACTATTTCGAGAAGGCAAGTAAAAATAAAGTCCCACGTCTCCCTCAGGAACAGAAAGGTTTTCATGAAGCGGCAAGGTCCAGACCACGCAGTAGAACCCTCCCGGACCCCGGCAACCCTGCCCGTTCCAGCGAATCACCCCTGAATCCGGGCTACTTAACCACCTCGAAGCACAAAGATGTTTATGGGGTTGTCAGATGCATAACAGCTACTTAAATTCTAACACCAAAAAAAGTATGATTAAACAAGAGTTTTTAACACCATATTCATCGGTACCTTTCCTCCTCGCTGGAACCCACAAAAAAAGGGGCGCAACACGAACACCAGAGAGGGGTTTTCCCCTTGTTTATTAGACTTAGGCAAACAGCTATATTTAACAATTCCTCCCAAAGGCCTGATGCCAGAGCGCTGGATCTTTTGAGAGGCAGGCACACAGGAAACAGAAGGCACACCCGCTGCTTGGTGCAGGAGCATTCTCCCGCTGCAGCCAAAGCGGCGCTCGCCCCAGCACCCGGCACTTTCCAAGGGCCAACCCGGGAAGCCTGCATCCCCACAGCCCAGCCCGCGTTGCCAACAAAGGCTGCATCTACTGCTTCCAGGTGGGAAGCCCCACTGTCTGACGCGGAGAGCGCGCTGCCCGCCGCAGCCCGGGAGCTGGGGTCTGCGCGGAGCCGCCCCCGGAGGGAGCCGCGCCGCACCGAGGTCCCGAACTGAGGAGCGCCGGCGGGGGGCCGCAGGGCGCAGGGCCTCGCAGTATCCCGGGGGAGGGCGGGCTGGGCGCCTGAGCCGCGCAGGGTCCCCAGAGGATGTGGCGGCGCCGCGGGCGGGATGGGGGCTGGGGCGGCCGAGACGGCCCGCCGCCCCCCGCGCCCCGCAGCCCCGATGCCTTTCATTTGGCCTCTGCGGCGTTGGAGGCAGCTCGACCTCCAGCGCTAAGCACTGCGCCAAGCAGGGGCGGGCGGGGGAGACGCCGCCAGACCCGCCGCAGCGCCGGACCACCCCCCTCCCCCCTCTCCACGCCGCGCCCCCAGCCCGGCCGGACCCCGCGGCGCGCCCGTCGGCTCGCAGGCCGCGCTCCCACGGCGGGCGAAGGAGACTGCGCTCGGGCGCTCGCCCGGTCCCCACCTCGATGTAGCCGGCCAATGCCGCGGCAGGCGCCGTGAGCCCGAGCAGCAGCAGGACCAGGAGCTTGCCGGTGGCCGTGGCGGCCGCGGTCCCGGTGGCCGCCATCCCTCGCCGGGTCGCTCTAGTGCTCGACTCTCAAGCTCACACACGAAAACTCAGAACCTTTCCCCACCGCGACCCAGAAGCATCTAAAGCCTGTTCGCCGCCGCCCCGGGGGTTTTACACCAACCGGAACTGACTTCACAAGGCCACACCCTCTTTCTTCGGGGCCCAATGCCGGGCCGTAGAGCCTCTCCAAGACACCGCCCCTTGTTCAACCCAGACCCAATCAAAGAACAGAAGAGCCTGCACCTCCCGCCCGCTCCAACCGCGAGCCCCGCCAGGCCCCGCCTCCGGCCTCTGACGGCCCCGCCCCCGCCTGGGACCCTGCGGCCGCGTAGCGAGGGGGTGTGCGCAGGGTGCGTTGGGGGCCGCGGCTCCGCGGAGGGTGGGGAATTGCTCTGGCCTCCCGCACGGTGAGAGGTTATCTGGGCGCGCTACGCTGGTGTGTCCTCCTGCAGCCTCCTGATTCGGGGCACGCCCCGCTCGCCTAGCCCTGCGGGGTATTTTTCAGATTCCTTTGGGTACCGCCCTCTGTGAGGTTCTGAAAATGGTTTTATTAAAAACAGAATTAAAAAAATTTTGTTGTTGTTGTTCCGAACCCAGGCAGGTTAACCGAAGGCCTCCCCCGAGGCTGGGGACCGGCTGAATGAGGGAGCTTTCCTCCTCTCCCGACCCCTGCTCTAGGCGTGCGGCTGTCGGCGCTCTGCTCGCCCAGAGCCGGGTTTGCCCTTTCCCCGAGACTGCTGGGCGGTGTTTCCACGCTTTTGACCTCTGTTCCTTAGGCCTCATCCTTACCCTTCCTTCCCAGCAGCCACTCGAGCCAGGGATAGCTGCCTCCCACTGGAGCCCAGTGGGGCAACGACCACGTTCATCTTAAAGCCCACGTCCCCTTCCTCGTATGTTTTAGGGAAAGATCGTTTTTCTTCATTACTCAGTTTAAGATAATTGGCAGGAGACCTGCTTCTCTGCTTTCTTGCTCCACGGCATTTCCACTTCAACTGGGAAAACGTTCTGCTGCCCCATTTCACAACTGGCACGGTCTCGCCACTGCGAGGGCTCTCTGCTGGCTTTGTTTCCTTTCAATAGCCATGTGATTTATACACCACCCTTTGTAGAGCCCTTGCTAGTCCCTTTAGGTTCAAACAAATAAATAGAGAACAGGGTCTCTACCCTAGGAAACAGAGAGTAAAAAGAGAGAGAGTGTCCACAGAATAAACAGTGGAGTAGTGAGAAGAACGCTGGATTTTCCAGCCTTATTGCCTGAATGCCCAGTTCTTGGTGGTTAAACAGGCTCTGTCCCTATTTCCCAAAGACAACCCACGCCTTTCCATTTTCGAGCCCTTTCTATGCCTGCAATGCCCTCTCTCCAATACCTACCTGTTGAAAACATTGTCATTCTTCCTCTGTCCCCTAGATGTAATGTTTTCCATTATGGCACTTGCTTCCTTGGTTGTCTCCACACCTCTGTTATGCCACTGATAAGAACTGGGCTATGTCCTACTGCAGGACCTCCTGCGGTGGAGACCTCCACACGTTTGTGCAGTGACACTGAAACCAATGATGCTGGGCTCTGGTCTTAGTTCTGGAACAGTTGCTATGACTATTGGTGTCCTTCCCACAAAGTTCCTACATATTGAAGCCCTAACCCCCAATGTGATGGCATTAGGAGCTGGGGCCTTTGGGAGGTAATTAGGATTAGATGGGGTCATGAGGGTGGGGCCCTCATGATGGCATTAGTGCCCTTATAAGAAGGGACCAGAGAGATACCCATGTGAGGACACAGTAGGAGAGGAGAGAGCCCTCATCCAAGAACCAAATCAGCAAGCCCCATGATTTTGGACTTCCCAGCCTCCCAAAAAGAAACGTCTGTTGTTTCAGCCACCCAGGGACTCCCTTTTCTTCTCTGTCATGTGTGGATATTACAAACCTGTCTCACCTCACCAATTTATGTGATTCAATGAAAAGTGAATGTACAATAGTGAAAAGCAGGAAGAGACTTAAACCTAAAAGGTGAAAGCAGTGTGAAGCAACATGTTACCAAGTGCAAGTTTCTGTGAAAGTATGTGTGGAAACAGTATCAAGTGACTATGTAAGTTCCAGTTCTGTGGAGCAGGTTCCCTGAGTCATTTAGTCCTTCTAGGGCCTGTTTCCTTGTCCACAAAAGGATCTCTAAATTTCTATGAATTTAAATGTTGAGAGAAAAGCAAGTAAAATTACCTGAATTCAGAACCGTGAGCTTGATCTTCATGCTCTTGGGACTGAATATTCAAGACTGAGCTCCAATAGCGTGGGATGGGACCAGGAAATAAAGAAAAATGATGTAGGGGTTTTCAATCCAAAATTAGGTCCTGGAAGAAGTTTATTTGCATTTTCAGGTCACCAAAGGATCATTAATAAGAGTTTATTACCCCATTCATCGGTGGTTTTGACTTTAAAATGTTACCCTCTTTTTATCAGATAATACTGACAGGAGCATACCTAGTCCTACAATTCTCAAGCAATAATTTTTCATCCTAAATCTGCTCATGTCGGTGACAAGTTGTTTGAGGAGTGCTACGTTTTCATTTTATTACCCTTAGTACGCAAAAGGAAAAGGCCCTAAAATTACCTCTTCTTTTGTCTCTCTTCTTAAAAATCAGACGTTCTTGGGGCGCCTGACTGGCTCAGTCAGTGGAGCATGTGACTCTTGATCTTGGTATTGTGAGTTCAAGCCCCACACTGGGTGTAGAGACAACTTAAAAATAAAATCTTAAAAAAAAGATTTCTCCTAAAAGAGGTAACTTCCATGTACCCTTAAGATGTGTGCATTTCGCCGTGAATTGTGCAAGACTGTTGAATCACAGATCTGTACCGCTGAAACAAATAATACATTATATGTTTAAAAAAAAAGAAGAAGAAAGAATGAAGGGGGGGAAATCGGAGGTGGAGATGAACCATGAGAGACAATGGACTCTGAAAAACAAACTGAGGGTTCTGGGGGGGCGGGGTGGGAGGATGGGTTAGCCTGGTGGTGGGTATTGAGGAGGGCACATTCTGCATGGAGCACTGGGTGTTATGCACAAACAATGAATCATGGAACACTACATCAAAAACTAATGATGTAATGTATGGTGATTAACATAACAATAAAAAATTTTAAAAAACTAATGTAATGTATGGTGATTAACATAACAATAATAATTTTAAAAAGATGTGTGCATTTCACTGTTGGGGAAAAAAGTAAAGTTCATGTCCCTAAGTGTGTATACTTACATGAGTAGTATGCATGTATTCATTTGACACTTATTTATCCAACACCTGTTCAGGGTGAGGTAAGCCAGGCTAGAACAGTTGCTCCCAAATCAGGATGCTTTCCAAATCATCTAAGAAGACTTATAAAAAGGCAAATTCCTGAGCTCCTACTTCAGAAATTCTGAATCACTAAGCCTAACTGACATAAGGGAATCAGTCTTTTTTTCTTTTTTCCTTAAAGCTTTCTAGGGAATTGTAATCCACTAGTACTTTTGAGAGCTTAATTCTCGAATATCATTGGGACTAGTAAAAAAAAAAAATATGTGTAGTAGCTAATTTAAAATTACCAGTGTTTTAGTTTTCCAACTAAAACATTAAATTAAGATACAACTGTGTATTATCTATAAACACTAATTCAAAAAGTTATATGTATCCCTATGTTTATTGCAGCATTACTTACAATAGCCAAAATATGGAAGCAGCCCAAAAGTCCATCTGTAGATGAATGGATAAAGATATGGTACAAATGCATGCACACACATGCACATACACAAACACAATGGAATATTAGCCATAAAATGTAATGAAATCTTGCCATTTGCAACAACATGGGTGGATCTATGTTAAGTGAAATAAGTCAGAGAAATCATATGATTTCACTTATACGTGGAATTTAAGAAACAAAACAAACAAAGAAAAAAGAGACAAACAAAAAAACAGACCCTTAAATATAGAGAATAAACTGATGGTTACCAGGGCACCTGGGTGGCTCAGTCGTTAAGCGTCTGCCTTCAGCTCAGGTCATGATCCATGGTCCTGGGATCGAGCCCCGCATCGGGCTCCCCGCTCAGAGGGAAGCCTGCTTCTCCCTCTCCCACTCCCCCTGCTTGTGTTCCCTTTCTTGCTGTGTCTCTCTGTCAAATAAATAAATAAAATCTTAAAAAAAAAAACAAAAAACCCCTGATGGTTACCAGAGAAGAGGTGGGTAGGGAGATGAGTAAAATAGGTGAAGGGGATTAAGAGCACACTTATGGATGCCTGGGTGGCTCAGTTGGTTAATTGTCTGCATTCTACTCAGGTCATGATCCCAGAGTCCTGGGATGGAGCCCTGCATCAGGCTCCCTGCTCAGCGGGGAGTCTGCTTCTCCCTCCCCCTCTGCCTCTCCCCCTAGTTTGTGCTCTCTCTCAAATAAATAAATAAAATCTTTAAAAAAAAAAAAAGAGTACACTTATCATGATGAGCACTGAGTAATGTATAGAATTGTTGAATCACTATGTTATACACCTGAAACTAATATAACAATATATGTTAATTATACTGGAATAAAAAAACAAATAAATGTAAAAAAAACAGATAGCCCCACCTTGGGTGTAGAGATTACTTAAAAAAATAAAATCTTAAATAATTAAAAAATTTTAAAAAACAGGGTGCCTGGGTGGCTCAGTCATTAAGCATTTGCCTTTGGCTCAGTTCATGATCCCAGGGTCCTGGGATCGAGTCCCACATCGGGCTCCCTCCTCGGCGGGGAGCCTGCTCTCCCTCTCCCACTCCCTCTGCTTGTGTTCCTGCTCTCGCTATCTCTGTCTCTGTCAAATAAATAAATAAAGTCTTTAAAAAAAATTTTTTTTAAAAAACAGATACCACTCTGTATTATCACCACTGTTTTATTAAGAAAAGAACTTTTTAAAAAGATTTTATTTATTTATTTATTTATTTGAGAGAGAGAGAGAGCACATAAGCAGGGAGGGGCAGAGGGGGAAGGAGAGGGAGAGGGAGAAAGAATCTGAAGTAGACTCCACACTGAATGCAGAGCCCGACGCAGGCTGGATCCCATGACCACAAGATCATGACCCAAGCCGAAACAA